CCAGCAGTTTTATCATATCATAGCTTTCTTTCGATTGAGATCCCTGGAGATACTTTACCAGGAGGTTGCCATACTTAGACTTGATGTTCCTGGGAAAGCACATCAATGTAACATTTCTGAAAGGCCAAGTTGTTTTCTGTTGTCCCTTAGGAGACAATATCACTTCGTCCTATCGTTGTTTAAATGTACCAAGAGCTTTTTGGCGCTGTGCCTGAACAGAGCTGTCAAGATTGTAAATTCAAGTTATAACCCAAGGACCGTTCACAATTTTATCTTATCCTGAGCTGCCTAACATAAAAAGAAATATTGAGAACACAACCAGCCTTCCGCATCCCTGAAATGTGCAGCTGCAGAAGCCTGTAATTTAAAGCAGTCAAAAGTACAGCGGCTGTTTTAGGGAAGGTTATAAATGAAACCATGTCCAGAGGAGGGCTGCAGAGAAGATCAGAGGGCTGGAGCACCTCTCCTATGAGGACAGGCTGAGAGAGTTGGGGTTGTTCAGCCTGAGGGAGAGAAGGCTCCAGGAACACCTTATAGCAGCCTTCCAGTACCTGGAGGGAGCATACAACAATGCTGGAGAGGGGCTTTTTATAAGGGCATGTAGTGGTAGGATGAGGCATACTGCTTTTAAACTGGAAGAGGGGAGATTTACATTAGATGTTAGGAAAAGAATCTTTACTCTGAAGGGTGAGACACTGGCCCAGGTTGCCCAGAGAAGCTGTGGATGCCCCATCCCTGGAAGTGTTCAAGGCCAGGCTGGATGGAGCTTTGAGTAACCTGATCTCAGTGGGAGGTGACCCTGCCCAAGGCAGGGGGATTGGAACTATATAGTCCTTAAGGTCTTTTCCAACCCAAACCTTTTCATGATTCTATGATATTCTATGATATTGGTCATCTTACTACATACTATATATCTCTTTGAAAGGGCTGCAGAAAGGTTTTTCAGGATTTGCTGAAGCGCTCATGCTCTGATGGGTTGGAGAAACATGAAAGGTCTGGACCATGCAGTGAAGGCTGCTGTGGTGGCATCATCCTGCTGGGCACGTGGTTGGTGAAACACCAGCAGCACTGACACGAGAGTAGGGTATGTTCTAAGCTGAGGGTGACCAAAGGTGGCTACCAGACTGCAAAGACAGGAAGCAAGGCTTCTTGGCAAAGGTAAAACAGCAGCAGCATGTGGTGAGAAGCTCCATTTCCCATGGCTGTTGCAGGGTGCAGGATGGGTGTGCTGACTTTGAGGATGATGTTATCATTAACACAGATGACACAGGGTAGTAGGAATAGTAGTAGAGCATAATTGTCAGCCGTCACCGTTTCTAAATCCACATTGATCTCCGTGGGTCAGTCACTGGGTATATAGCTATGGCTTGATGTCTCCTGCACTGCATTTGCAAAGCTGCGTGCTGGAATCTTACACACACGGGGGACAGATACACGAGTGGACCCACATCCGTTGATCCATGTATCTGGAAAACACTGTGATAAAAAATGCAAACCCAGGATGAGAGGACATATAAAGAATATAAAGATATAAAGAACCAGGGAAAATGTATATGTGTGCTAAAATCAATGCTGAATATTGTGATTTTAATAGATGATCAGTTGCTAATGATCAAGTTGTGCTCAAGGGCTGGCTGTCCCTTGACATGTCTGAAGCTAAAGAAATCTGGTCCACTTTTAAATTTTTTTTGTTATTTTTAGAAATCCAGTCACATTACTACTTTAGTACAAAACCATAGCTTTTATTTTTTCTTTTCTAAACTTCATTTTTCTGTAAACTTTTTGGTTTTTAGTATATTGTCCTTTCTCATTTTTTAGGTTGGCTGTCTCAGGTTGGCAGCTGACAACAAGTGATCATATCATGGTAAATTATTTTCCCTACTGTGTTCTTTACTTTTGCTTTTTTACAAATATCATTACATTACTTTATGAGAGGACAATACAGGAATATGCTAGCCCTTATTGATTTTGTTTCTGGGTCAGTTCAACCAGTTAAAGCTGTTTTGGAGAGCCTTGAGTCAAAAGCAAAAGTGGTATTCTACCGTTGTGGTCTGAATTCCCCTAACTTCTCAAGATGATACTTCCTTCTATGCTGCAGGTTTAATTAGCTGAGTAAGTTCAGGGGATCTAGTGAGTTATGCACAGCAAAATTTGTTCTTCTGTGGGCTGAACTGATTAGAGGTTGCAGAGAAACCCTGGAAAAATGGAGGAAAGGCTCTGGTGAGTGAGAAGCATCACTGGAAAGAAGGGTCTGTTAATGGAAGAGGGGTCTGTAAATGCATGCTTAGACAGAGATGAGCCTTCCCAGTGCAGTCTTCTTGGATGCCAGGGAATCCCAGGGGGACTGTCCTTAGGGGTGGCCAGGTTCCCTTGTCCCCCCAAAGAGCGTTTGCTATTGCTGCTGCCCCAGACCAAGAGCTGGGCTGAGTGGACATGGAGACATTTATGACCAGCTTTTAGAAATAGTATGGGCATTGCAAGAGCACAGTGGATTTCACTGCCACTCCATAAAGGCATTCATGAATTATTTTAACAAAGCAAATATTCTCCTCTCTAAGGGTCATGTGATTTTGTAGGAAAATCAGGTCTTTATTGCCTCTGAAGACTTTATTTTCAATGTTAATGCTTGAGAAGTATGATTTACAAATGGAAAGAATATATTATGAGACGTGCATAATGGAGACATGCAAGGAAAGGAAGTTTTTTTTCTAATCAGTTCTGAGAGGAATAGCGACAGGAGTATAATTATAATTAAGAAGGACATATCATAATAACCTTAGCTCGGCAGTTGCTTTTTCCTTTTGTCAGCAGCTGTTTTGGGAAATGACAAGAGCAGGAAGCACGGGAGGAGTAGCTGCTACATAAATTTCATAGATGGAGCTGTGAATTAACATTATTCCTGTATCTGAACTGTTGTTCATCATCTAAAGAAATTCCTTCTGTCTTTTTTGCGCGAAACCTTCCCTAGAAGTGGTAATGCTCTGTCTCAATGATGCCTTGTGCAAATAACCCTCTACTGTTGCAGACATTTTTTGGAGGATTTTCCCGGTGCAGAGCAGCAACTTGAGCAGTCTATGCTGCACTTGATGCAAAATGAAAATAACTGCAACAAGACCTCTACAAATATGTGCTTGTCTGTGTTTTTAAATGTCGCATCCATCTTCAAGAATGGGCTTTTAGGGGTGTTAAGTAAAATACGTGAGGGCATAAGGAAACTGCACAACAGTAACAGAAATTGGATGTCATGAGTTGTTGGGTTGTGTCACCCTCATCGGCTGCTGGACACGTGCAAGTTCTCTTGGTCCTTACACAGTCATGGGACTGTGATTTTGATAGTAATTAAACAGCAGCAGCAACAACAGCTTTAAAGTGAGGTGAGCTTGTTCATAGTTTGGATAGACTTTAGTAAGCCAGGTCTGCTTACATCAGGGGAATAAAATTCAAAGAGAATGTCTCAGATACTAATAGAACAAACATAAAACCTTTATTCTGTATTTCCAGATATTTTGCAATGCTCTTTTGTTTATTTTCATGTGATCTATTTAGTCATGGGGCCTGATTTTTAAAACTTTATCTTTTCCTAAGGCAGCAAATGTAAAACTTGAGCCTGTGAGTTGTCTTTTACTTTATAAATTTGACTAAAACAAGTGTTTCTGACACCCCGCCTGCTATGAGTCAGGGACATGATGGATATAGATGCAGAATTTATTTTATAATAAATAGAAATATTTATTTAGAAATAATAGAAAGAAGTACTAAGCTATATAAAGCATGTCTTTCGTGGACATAATGTCAGGTTTGCCAGCGTTTACATATATGTCTTTTTGCTCAGTGATTGAGAAAGAACTGTTAAAGAACTCTATAACAATTAAATCTTTATTGTCTTCCCTTTAGTAATTCATGGATACTGATCAAATGTTTTGATGCTCTGACATACACAGAGGAGATAAATCTGCCATTCTAAAGGTAAGGTCCTGCTAAAGTGGTGTTTGTCTTCCCAATGCCTTTTCTTACACTTTTTATTTAAACATAGGATATGATCAATCTGAGTGACTCCACTACTGGCGTTTCCCACTTTTATTTTTTTCTGTATTCCTCCCAAAATGACGTGACTGTGAGAGAAGTCAGGCTCTCCAGAGGCAGTTTCACTCTAGGACCTGCTGGAGCAGACTGCTGTGCTTACAGAGAACCTTTTTGTTTCTCGGAGGTGTGTGTGAACACAGCAGTTTGCTCATGCAAATTACAAAGATCTTAATGTTCTGTAGTAGCAAATGGGATTGCCAAAATAAATAAATAAATTTTTTAAAAGGCACTGTTATTTCATGTTATCCATAGGTCTGAGCAGAGGAAATTAATGTAGAGCACAATTAGCACATTTGAAAGCAGGTCCACGGCCGCCACGTCCTTACAGGCATTAAGCAAAGGTGAGCCAGGTGGCTAAGAGATTTGTATCAGTCAACTGGCATAATCTTCAGAAATACCCATTTTAGCTTTAAAAAAAATTAAATCATGTGACATATGTGTAAATGAATCACATTCTGCAGTACCTACATGTTTCTAACAGTTGGGGCTGCAGTGGAAATTCTCTCCTTCCATGACTGCACGTGCTTCCTGCATGGGCAGGCCACAGCAATTAAACATATTTAAGGCTAGATTAATGAATGGTAACACCCACAGGCTAGTACAACACTGGTGCATATGAGGGTACTGGGGCTCTTAGCCAAACCTAGCTTCTGGAAGTCACACTTGACCTTTCAGCCTTAGCAAAACTGAATGTAAATTAATGCTAATGAATTAAGATGAGCTTTGTACAACAGCTAAGATTTTGAACTGATTAATAAGGGGTTTTTTACAGTAATTACAGATTTCTAGATATAAAATGACTGTTTCCATTTCTCTTTCTGCTCTTTTCTAAATACTATAACTTTACAATTATTTAGGAAGCTAAATATTCTGTATTATTTGAAAAAATTACTTTCTTGCATGACTTTTTACACCAGGAGTGACTTGCACTTGCCCCCTGTGCACTTCGGACAGGAGGCACCTGTGTGTCACCACCTCTGAGGGGGTTCAGCTTGCCAAGAAACTAGGAGCCACTTACCTCAAATTGCACACTCTTAACAACTTCTGCATCCAGAAGCATGTTGGAGGAGTGGTGAGTGAGGAACCCTGGGCTGAAAGCCGGGTGGCATGCATGGGAGGTGCATGGCCCGTGTCAGGGCTTCAGAGAGCAAGCAGTGGCACCCCAAGAGCCCTCCCACTGAGGGCAATATCCCACCAATGTGAGATTTAGATGAGATATAAGTAAGAAATTCTGTGAGGGTGGTGAGACACTGGAACAGGTTGCCCAGAGAAGCTGTGGATGCCCCATCCCTGGAGGTGTTCAAGGCCAGGCTGGATGGGGCTTTGAGCAACCTGGTCTGGTGGGAGGTGTCCCTGCCCAGAGCAGGGGCCCAGATGATCTTTGAGGCCCCTTCCAACCCAAACCATTCTGTGATTCTATGATTCTAGCTGAATTGACAGTACCAAGGTTGCTCCAGTTTTAAGTACCTTCTAGGAAGTTTTAGGAAAGTCACAGTACACACTGCAAGAATTTCCCCCCTCTATTCCTGTCCTTTTGTCTTGCTGGGATGGGATAAACATAACACAGCTGGACGAGGCACCTGACAACCCCATCCCACTCTGAAGACGTCTTAATCCGATGCCCTGAGTGGGACACATCCACAGGTCCCTTCCAAGCTGAATTATTCCATCATAATATGATATTTTAAATTTTAATTGCTTACTCTCACAGCTGTTCTACGTCTAATGTGAGACAGGTAAAATTGTTGAATTCTCTGATTTTTTTAGCATGTTCTTGTGGTCACTCAGTTCACAGCCGTGACACAGTTTGCAGTCCTGATCAGAGCCTGGGGTCAGACGCAGTGAAACAGAGCGAGGCAGAAGCTGAGAGACTTGTTAAAATGTCCCACGTCTAATGAGCTTGTTCTTTTTTCACTCTCCTGGAGACAGTGAAGACCACTGCACAGTTTCTAAATACAGTCTTTTTTGAACCTTTTGGTTACTTTCCCAGTAGCATTGGGGCTTGAACAAAAAAATGCCATTATTTTGGCAGTAATTTCACATAGTCTGTGCTGTTGTTGCCCCTGGTGTGTAAGTACAGTGTGTTTCCATAGGATTTCATAGACACTTGGAATACCTGGCACAACAGTTAGGCAGTTTTTACTGGATCCCTTCATTCCCAATTAAAACCAAGGAATTCACTCAACATCTGGTCCAGCTGGAGTTACATTTCTAGTTTCTAGAAAGCACTATATGAAAGCTACAATGATGCCCTGGGTGACAGAAGCATTTGAGACATGCATTAACTGGAACTGAACCACCACTTGTGGCTGTTCACTCCTCTACAAGGGAGCGCTTCCCCTCAGCACCGTTTTTATTGCAGTGATGACACTTGTGAAAAAAACAGTGCCCCCATGTACCACCATGTAACGGCACTCTCTCAGAAGACATGACGACATGGAGGTGGCAGTTAGTTGTAAGCTTTTGTTACGGTTTTGCTATTTCCAGCACTTGCACCTGATCATTATCCATCAAGTGCTATTCTTCTCTGTAATTCTGTAATTAGCATCTATGGAAGTTGGTAAAATGATTATCTTTGTGCCTGTCGTTTCCGGGAAGATTAAATACAAGAGAATTACGCACCGTCATTTGAATAAAGAGTCTTTTAAATTGTGCTAATTCCACCTAAATGTGGTGCCTTCTCCAGGTAAAGGAGCGTTGGGACCCGGTGACCTGGATGACTGTTCACAGTAGCCTCAGTCCTGCACACAGCACCTGCTTGTTCCCCATGGTTTGATGTCTAGGTTGTTCTTAAATAACTAGCATATTTTTAAAGATAACACTTCATGTTTTAGCTGGAATATTTTATGATCCAAAGTTTGAATCAGAAGTTTTCTGAAAACAATGAAGAAAAGATGCAGAAGTGCCATTAAGTTCAACCACCTCAGCTCAAGCAGCCAGGTGCTCGCTGACGTCTGGTCTCCAGTATCGTTCATTATGTGTGCCACGTTCTTTGCACAATTAGCATTTTGTAATCATGACTGTGGGCTGTGCTGTCATCAGCTACTCTGGTTATCTTGCTCTAGTTGCATCATCTTTTAGTGATGGTTTAATTAATTTGGGGAGAATGGTGTAGCAATAAGTAACATTGCTACGGACTTCTGATTTATTTTACGCAAAAATAACAGGAGTGGTTTTCTGGTGCACTTGATGAAATAATGCAAAGGCAAATTAATAAAAGCTTTACAGAAAAGCTTTACAGACAAATTATAGAAGTCAAACTTTATTATTCTGTAATATCAAGTAATATTTTTGTTTGCTGCAAATAAAACAAGGGAGAAGTGTACACCCCTGCACATGATTTCTGAGCATCTGATGCGCTGGCTCAGTGAAATAATTACTGACATATATTTACCTCTAAATACATGGTTGTCTCTTCTCACACGTACTAGAAATTTGCTCAGATACTTTAGGTTTGGGATTCATAGGCAAGTTTTCTTTCAAATGTAAATGTCAAAAATTATTTCATAAAAAGATGGACACTTTTTACTAAACTAAGTATTTCTTATCTTTCTTATTTTTCTGTACTAAGTATTTCCATTTTTAGAGTATTTTACTAAATGGATCCAAACAGCATACAAGAGATTTTCTTCTCGAATTCTTTTTTGAAAAATTGCCCTTCGTTTGATCAGGTCTCTGTGAAGAGTTGTTCTGTGGTTAGCTCTTGCTTCAGTTCTACAGCCCAAGTCATTATCTTTTGCAGAAAAAATGCTGATTTTGAAGGGCGAAGCCTGGCACTATGATTGTGGACCTGCACAACCTGCTCTGCTGCTGTGGGTGTAACATTTTGCCGTGAAAGACCTCAGCATGGTGGTGGAGGCTTACAAGGTCATCCTCTGCTCCACCAGCTACATCTTCATGCTGCTCTTCGAGGTGAAGAGCCCCACCGACATCTGTGACACCTCCATCGTGTGCATGGTACAGAGCCCCTTGACAGCAGAGGTGGGGGCCATCTGCAGTGTCCCACCCAGCATCCCACCCATGAGGGTGGTGGTGAGGGATGCTGTCCTCTGCTCTTGGCTGCTGGACATCCTCCACTTTATCTATTCAGGTACCCCCCAGAATGGGTCTGGCTGCTCATTTCTCTTACAGCCGATGCCCTGCAAAGGAGGAGCACGGCCCTAAGGAACAGCCCTGGCTGTTCATGTAGGTATCATGTTCTGCCACGGTGCTACATCTACTTCGTGCTTGCGACTATGGTGAACAATGTCTCTATGAAAGAAGCCCCTCGCCTAGATTGAAAAAAAACTAAATGAGCTGTCATTCCAGATCCAATGAACACAAATCAAGTGAAGTATTTCACTGAACCAAGTCCACAAGATAACATCAGTCAGCTAACCAATCTGCTCTAGGTGAACCTTCTTTGGGAGAGGGGTTGGACTAGATCATCTCCAGAGGACCCTTCCCTCCCCAACCATTCTGTGGTTTTGCGATTTTCAAAAGCTTTGCCAAAAAAATCTAGAGTTTGAGATAATTGTAGATTTTGAGCTTCTAAAATATTTTAAATGGTTGCATGTTCTAAACACATGGATGAGAGTGCAGGGTTACTTAAGAAGACCCAAGAAATTTCTCTTCCAGGTATGGTGCTGCTGAAGATAAAACAGGGATAGCTGGTTAGAGCACAGGGGACTCTGACACATCACACATCTTTTGCTACCAATTCAGTGCAGGCAGTGACCTCGCCTACCTGAACCTAGCTGGCTATTAAAATAGCACTATTATTTTTTCTATCTTTTTAAAAGTTGCTTAAGAATCCTCAGATTAAAGAGAATTTTTTGTATTTTTTTAAGTACCTTTATAAAATATTTTGCAAGCTGTCAGTATATAAGAATATATATTTTATTTGTTGAGAGGATTAGATGGCTTTTTAATAATGCATTCTGATTTTAACTGTAATTTGAAAAAAGCCCCAAATAATTCTATTGTAACAGCTGCATCCATAAAAAAGCTTACCCAATCTCTGTAGACTGATAAGCTGCCTGACATGTGAAAAGGATTTCTGCCTTACTGGCCAAGACATGAACACTGGCTTGTGAAGACATAAAGGAGACTCTTTAATTTTTCAATTAGTTTGTCACTGAAAATCCCTGAATCTCCTTCAGTTCCTTCCAAAGCAGTGTCAAACATAAAGAACAGATATAGACGTTTTTCAGCGTGAATGGACTGATATTTTTTATTTATTGGTGACATTAACACGGGATTAAACCTGGAATTTCAGCAGATGAAAGGTTAAGTGCATCTGCTGCCTTCTGTGTATTAATTTTACTTTTGCTTATGTCAGCCAAAAAAGTGGGAAACTTTGCACAGCAGTAGCTGAAACTCTGCTCAGCTCCCCACCTAAAGGGCATTGCCAGAAGTGACTGCGCATTTTGGTACCTTTGAGAGAGGAAGAGGTCTTTCAAAGACACTTCAGACACGGATTGAGGACAGGTCATGAGCCAATGTTGTTGTTTTCAGCCTTTCAGGACCATGACATTATGCCCACAAGGTTATAAACACCATCCCTACGGTACACATAGGAGCTGGTAGAGCTAAAAACGTCATACGCTGTGTGTGCTCTTTCAGCCTTTTCTTTCCTCCAGTGCTGTGCTGACTTGTGTTTCACCCTGAGCTTTATCCATCTCTGACTCTTTCTTGCTGCATGTCCCTGGGGATCAGAGCAGAAGGTTATCAAAAAGCCCCATAGTGTCTTTGAGATTAACTCCAGCAAAATGTATAAGGATAAACTACGTTCGTTTTAACACCAGCCAACGCTTTTAGCGGTTCCAAGAAAGCTATTGAGACACCTAAGAGAATATCATGGCTTTGACTCTGAAAACAAGAGAAAAAGAAATCTCACTGCAAAATTTGTGCTAGTTTTGGCTACCAGTATTCAGAATATAACTACTCGCGAAGCTTTTTTTGGTTCAGACAACTGCAAAGCAAAGCAACCAGCAATACGAGCAGAATTTAAAGGACTTCGTAAGTATTGAAACATTCGGGATTTTTTCTTCAATGTCTACCTGCAATAGGTAGTGACTGAACAAGGAGGAAGCCAGAAATTAATTTTGAAAGCAAGAGAGATGCCCTGATCTCTCTGTGCTTGATTGCATTCTTGTAAAAGTACCGTGGAAGCTTTACTGTGCAAGAATTGCATCTTTCCCTTCCCAAGCACAAAGATCTGCCTGATTTGTGTGCAAAAAACCAGAGTTTCTCCAGGATATGTTCAGCATTGATATAATTTTTTCTCTGCCTGCTAAGGCTTGTGCCCTGCTGATTTATAATCAAATTTACCTGGTCTTGTGGCAGGTGCTTTCCAGTGGGAACGATTAAAAGACAATATAAAGAAGTTGTTGAAGCATCCAGAAAAAACATATGACATGCTTGAGAAAGTTAAATGTATCCTGAAAACTCCAGGGAAGGTACCTCTAACTCTCTTGGGGCAACTGTTAGTTACTTAAGTTCTTGGGAAATTGTTTGTAGACAAGATTTCCTTGCCAGTCTTTGCTTTAAACACACTGTGGCTTACACAGCTTTCATCACTTTATCGGTGGGTTGTTCACAGCCATGTACAAAATAGAAACAGAGAGATGCTGATCTAACATGCAGAAATAATGTAATTGGTAAAACGCACAGAAGTAGGTTTCCGAAATGGATTATTCATATTCACAGCTTTCCACTTTGTCTAACAATACGATTACGTGCTGCTAATTCTCATGTAATAGAGGCATGTAGTAGAAAGCTCTGCTTTCCTGGGCATGTGCCAAAAGTTATGCTTCTACAGGAGGTCAGGAGAGATGGTTTCTCTTATAGGTGTTGTGATGTGGAAGTCTGCCTATAGCTCAATATATTTAATTCAGCAGATGACTTCACAGTAAAATGTTATTTATGTCACATTATTATGTTTTTAAAAAGTTACAACACAAAATTAGTTTTAACAACCATTTGTTGCTAGAGAAAATGGAGCAAAATAGATACATTCCCTGACACTACAGAACTCAAACAAAGTATTTCTGCCAATTTAAATGGGAAATCATCTTGGACTGTCCTGAGATTACATAACACAAAGATCAAAAAGTGGTTTAGTTGTTTTAAGCTTCCGATAGCTCAGCTGTAGGCTTGCCAATCCTAAGGGTACAAAGCTAAAACATTCACAGGATTGGACTCAGTAAGTCCTAAAAACATTCAAGATAATAAGCCTGAGTTGTTGTTGTTTCTTCTGGGGTTTTGTTATGCCATTGGGATACTTTTATTTCACATTTTTATTTGAAAACATGACTACACATGAATTGAGACTGTCATGATAACATCTAGTTATATAAATCAGGCAAAATTTTAAGCATAAATTAAATTTCATCTGAATTCCACTTATCACAACCTAGCAATATGATTGTGATGTTGTTGCTTTTGGTAGCTTTAGATGCCATTTTTAAAGTAAGAAAAACAAAACTGAGAAACTACCTGGCAGTACTGGGGTGTTCGGAGGGTCTTGATGCATTCCTGGATTATTGTAGAAGTCCGTGCTTCAACCTGTGAGCTCCCTCTGCCTCTGTGGACGCAGTATGAGGGCAGTATAATTTCCCTGCCTTGCAACAGGCAGCATCGTGCTGGGGCGTGGATGTGTCCCCCCAAGAGCACAAAAACCCGGTGTTTCTGCAGCCTTGGGTCCAAAGTTTGGAGTCCAGAAAATTTGTGATGCAGACTTGCCCAAAGGTGATGGATGGGGGAGTTTTGTCACAGGTCAGAGTGCCAAGGCAAGAACTGGGGTTTGAGTGTAGGAGACAGGGACCCCTCTGAGCTGCTGCACTGCGGGAAATAGGAAAATAAGCAATAGAGATAGTTGCAGCGGATTGCATGTGCAAGAGTCACAGCTGAGTAGCATTAGCAAAAGAATCAGCACCAGACCTCGAAGAAGCATCCGGTGGCGACATCTACATTTGCCCCGAATGAAAAGACCAAAGATGCTGGTTATTGACTCCTTACACCTTCCCTCTGTCCATCTCAGGTCATGCTGGCTGTGGATGTGCCTTTCTCTACCCTCCAGAAGCTGACAGGCACTTCTGTCAGAATCCCAGACTGACAGGAGTTGGAAGGGACCTCTGGAGATCATCCACTCCAACCCCCTGCCAAAGCAGGGTCACCCAGAACAGGCTGGACAGCAATGCATCCAGGTGCATTTTGAATATCTGCAGAGAAGGAGACTCCACAGCCTCTCTGGGCAGCCTGTTCCAGTGCTCTATCACCTTCAAAGGAAAGAAGTTTTTCCTCATGTTGAGGTGGAATTTCTTGTGTTCCGGTTTGTGCCCATTGCCCCTTGTCCTCTCCCTAGGCACCACTGAAATGTGTCTGCAGACTGAAAAGCAGCTCTGCAGAGAGGGACCTGAGAGTCCTGGTGGACAAGTTGCCCATGAGGCAGCAACGTGCCTTTGTGGCCAAGGTGGCCGACGGGCTTCTGGGGTGCATTAAAAAGTGTAGGTGTACTCTAAGTGCAGGTGTACCCCTACAGTTGCTCTTTCAATTACTGGGCAATTACCTTGATTACAGGACAGAGGAGGACAGCATTCCTGTGTTTGTGAATTTTCATCTGTTCTCTGCAAAATAGTGCTATGCTGCTGGACACTGGCTAGTCTTCTGCAAACCTAATAAAAGAAGAGTTTAAAAAAGGTACTAAAAAAAAGTTGCTTAGGGCTGCAAAGACACTGTAGCTGGCAGATGATATATTCCAGCTTTCTGGAGCACTGCTGTCATCTAGAAATCTCCACCCTTCCTCTTGAATGAGGTTCATCTTGGCAAGAACAGAAAAATCACATGAAACAAAATTAACTTTGGCCGTAAAGAACAGAGGATTGGTAACATTCACGATCATTTTGTTTCCTCCAGTTAGCACTGACATTCTCCTAAGAAACAAGAGCTTAAAATTTACAGGAGAAAAAAAATTTGAATCAAAAATCATTATTATCTAGGATAAGCATCAGGTATGAAGAAATGGAAAAACAGCACAAAACTACCTCTTCTACCCCGGAGGAATGCAGGGGGCAGCTTCTTGTTTTGAAGAACATCTATCTTCCAGATTCTGTCAAAGCTTGTAAGTGATGCTTCTTGTAACATGCAGAAGTGAAACAATGCATCACTATGCATTTGTTTGCTACAGTGCAAACCTGGACTCCTGCAGAACTTAGGAGGAGGTTAATGAAGGAGTTCCAGGATGGTCGCTTGGGTTTAGGTACCTTATTCCACCTTAGGCTCACCTCAGGCTGCTGCACCCTCATTGTTTTTGTGAGAAGGTAAAATCACCCACCTTTTCCTGAGAAGTTTAGTACCATTGAATGTTAATGAGACAAACAGTCACAAGATATGCACGGCTTTCTGGCTTCACTTGAAGTCTGGCTTCACTTGAAGTCTGGCTGCACTGTGCATATATATCTGTATGAGTGATGAGTAGGAGTAAGAAACATTACCAACTGCTCAGGCTTTTTATCCTGGTTCTGTGTGCTGTCTTTCAGTAACTGGATCATCTTCTTCCAAAGTTGATGAAGCTCTGCCTTTTCTGCACCTTCCTCCTGTTTCACTTCTATTAGTTTCTGCCATGATTCAGCCACCTGTCAGAAAAATACTGATTGCTGGTTTTTGAGAGACAGACCTAATACGCAACCTTATGGTCTACATGTCTCCAAGTAACACAACAGTATGTTGTAACTATATACTGTTATAGGTTGTTATGCACACATCACCCAGCACACAGCTGTTTTAAATATATCCTACTGTCTTTAAGTAACAAACAATAGATTTCAGTAACAATCCACTTGATGTCAGAAACTGGAAAAATAAGTTACTAGATAAAACATTTTTTCTCCTATGAGAAAAGCACTGTCAAACGTTTCTACAAGCACAGAAATTCCTAAGCAATTTACTGTATCTGTTTCAATTTGTGTTCTCCTTTGCACATTTCACTACTATCTTATCTACACAAGAAATACAAACCTATATATACTGAAACTAAAGTTCACCCTCTTGCATATATGCAGCCACCCCTGGCTTTACTTTGGACACACATACAATGCAAACCTTACCTACTCTGAAGCTTCAGAACTAAGGGCCCGAAGAAAACATGATGCAAGTCTCAGCTCTGCTTGGTTCCCATACTTAACTCCATAGAGACATTTTTCAGAGAAAGAAAAAGTGAATCTGGAGATCAGGTACCTGCCCTGCCAGTAACTGGTTTGGTTCAAGTTCACTAGCCTTCTTATACGCTCTTTTGGCCTGTTCAGGTTGCTCCAACTCAGCAGCTGCCAGCCAGCCAAGCATTGTAGTTATTTTTTTCTTGCTGCAAAACTGCCTAGAAATATACAATTTTAAGTGAAACTGATGAATGAAATGCACCTTATAGATCCAGGTATTGAGTTTTATCATTACAGTTTGGTGAATTATTCTGTATGGTAATATTAGAAGTTAACTCATTTTTAGGAAAAGGCTAAGATTAATAACTTCGGCTTTTCATGCCGGAGAATGCTTCATATCTAAGCTGCTCTGCCAGTAACCATAGCTGTAGCTCAGCAAGTAAAGCACTCCTGTCAAGGTCTGGATTAGAAACTGATTTTACCTCTACCATTCTAGGCTTAATATTCTTACCACCACAGATCACCTGCCAAAGCAGGGTCACCCAGAGCACGTTGGACAGGAACGCATCCAGGCAGGTTCTGAATATCTCCAGAGAAGGAGACTCCACAGCCTCTCTGGGAAGCCTGTTCCAGGGCTCCAACATCCTCGAAGGAAAGAAGGTTTTCCTCATGTTGAGATGGAATTTTCTGTGTTCCAGTTTGTGCCTGTTGCCTCTTGTCCTGTTGCCAGACACCACTGGAAAGAGTCTGGCTCCATCCTCTTGACACCCGCCCTTTAGGTATTGATAAGCATTGATGAGATCCCCTCTCAGTCTTCTCCAGAATAAACAGCCCCAGGTCTCTCAGCCTTTCCTCATCAGAGAGGACACATTAAAGGGTCATCCACGCTCATGAAGTCTGATGTAATCATGCGCTGTTTTGATGTATATGGTAAATATTTTGCTGCAAATGAGCTTTGGAAACACCACCGCCAAAACTGCCTAAATGGGTGAGGCTGAGAAACACCACTGCTGGCGGCGGCACTGAAAGAGACTGAAAATGTGACAAGCTGAGGAACACAAAAACCTTTTAGCACCTGAAGAGCAAAAGATAAAAGAGTGGATGAAGGGTCTAGAGAGAAAACAGTAATGAATGCACAAAGGAACAGGGCAGATTTCAAAGATTCCCTCAGAGCCTAAAAAAAAATATAAAGAAACCTGTCAAACCTACATGGCTCAACAGCTCCTGGACATAAATCTGCTTCCAAAGAGGGCACAGGCTCCTCGATCACCACTGACGTCCCTCTCTGGCTGCCCTCCCGGTGGGGGAAGGCACGACGGGGGCCAGACCGGCCGCCACAGCCCTGCTCCGCCTCACCTCCACCTCCATGCGCGCTTCCCTCATGGCGGCTACGCTGCCCGGCCGGCCGCCATTTTGCGGGGAGTCTTGTGGGAGATGTAGTTCCCGCCTGCCGCCGCCCCGGAGCACGGGGAGAGCTGCGGTACGCGGAACCGAGGGCAGCGGGCGGCTTCGTCTGGCAGGGCCGCCGCTCTCCTCTCTCCGGGAGAGGGGTTTGACGGCGGCGGAGCAATGAGGGGTGGCGGCCGGGGGTTGGGGCGAGCAGGGCCGGCTCTGCTCCTTGTGGCCGCCTCGGCCTGGGCGGGAGAGAGGCTGTGGCCCATCGCCCCGAGGGTCAGCTTCGGCCCAGCTTGTGGGTTTTGAAGTACTGGAGGCAACACAAATTATTCTGAATAACACCAGGAAGCACATTTCATCCAGGAACTTGAGCTGCACTGCAACAAAAATCTGTCATCGCTTAGTTAACTCCTATCAATTTAGGAGTTAAATTGCCTAGTGGTGCACCATTGCGTGATGCTCATGGCCTGTGACTCCTTGGTGAGGGTCGGGGGGAAGGAGGGCCGGAATGCGGCGGGGGCTGCCTCGCCGGGGGCATGTTGCTTGTCCGGGCCTGAGTGGGACCTCTGAGGACGTGGCAGCAAGGGCTTTGCCCAAGCTACAACCACAGGCTTTCAAAAATAGGGCTGCTTGTTATTCTCCATCACCTCCACGGGGTGCAGAGCTTTCTTGGGACCTTGAGGGCAGGTGTTTACTGGGTAACTCTTGTTATCTAAACCAGGCTCCTCCTTCTTCCCAGGAGTGTACTCTGTATTTTCATCAGGTCCATTAGAGTAGTCAGAAATTTCTGCATAGGTGGTTCCAGCAGTCAGCTGTGGTACCTACAGCTTGTCACTGCAACTAGAGCCAGTGGGGACACATGAGCAGCACTGTGGGGCTGGGCAAGGATTCACAGAGCAGACCTGCTGTGCAAAATCGGTTCTTTTCCATTGGCTTGGAAACGAAAATGGAAAGGCAGGTAACTGTTACTCTTGCCATTGTAAATCCTAAGAGCATTAGGTCTCCACAACAGATGAAATGGAGAATTTCTGTGACAACAGATGAAATGACTGAGTAAAGCTGTTGGGCAATATCTGTTAGGTGTAACAAATATGACAATAAACTTGCCAGGTGAGTATTTACAGCTAAAAAGATAAAGGAACCAGTAGGTAAGTTTTTATAAATTTCTAGTGGCTTTATTACAGTGATTTGTTGGTACATTTGTTATAACCCCTAGACAGGTAAAAATGTTGGTTATTTGTTTTTCCATATACGAATACTAAGTGTATTCTCTTGCTTACAGCTAAAACAGCTGTAAAAACATTTTTTCACCCTTTTCTCTCTATGCTTCTGTCTGCCCACCCAGCACGCTGGAAATCATTTTATCAAGGTTTTACTTTGAGAAAAGGGAGAGCCTTGGTTTTTCTGCCTCATCTGCGCTCCCCTTCCTGTTAAACATAAGCTTTGTGGTGTTACTTCCAAGGACTTTCACATCTCATCACTTCTCATTCACTGTTGAGAAATCAACACTTGGCTCCCAGTTGTCTCAGAATGCTGTCCTTGATGGCACAGGTAAAAGCACTTGACTTCTTGCCAGCTGCCTGTCATTCTTGGGATGAATTCTTCCTAAGTATTTGGTAAATATGTATTATCCTTCAGGTCCCTTCTTAAAACAGGTTTGCTGTGATTTAAAAGATAAAGTAATAGGTTTCTACTGCTATCTATGAAAGATTCAACCCTGTTTTGTTAAATGTGATGAAAATTTTCTTTGTAGTGATGCTGGACTGCGTTCAGCCTCCAGAGCAGCAGCCTCTTTCTTGAACAGCTAGCTTTCTGCTCTTGTGTCACATTGAGCACCGTACATCTCACAGGGCTTGCTGGTAGAATGTGCTAGTAGGCAATTTAGCTCGTAAATTGCTAGGAGGTTAACTGAGCCATGACAGATTTTTGTTGCAGTACAGCTCAGGTTCCTGGATGAAATGTGCTTCCTTGTGTTATTCAGAATAATTTGTGTTGCCTCCAGTATTTCAAAACCCACAAGTCCTATGCAGTTCTTGGAGAGTGGGTTTCCAGTGACAGGTGTAGAGCTTTCACTTTCTCAGCCTGTAAGGAAGCTTACTTCTTTCACTGAATAGACATGTCACCTGACTGTCCGGTATCGAAAGAATGAACTCTTGTCTCCAGCTGTTCAAACAAACCATATCTTTGTTGGACAAACTCAGTCTTGTACTAAGAGCACTTTCAGCCTGAAGTTCCTTTCAAGTTCGCATTGCAGATTACAGCTTTATTTCCAGTTTCTCCTACTGAATGCTTGTTCTAGTTGCCATTTGTAGTAATGTACAAAATTAGGTGATCAGTCTTTTACCATACTCTGATCTCCAGTGGCCCAGTATACCGTGTAAATGCAACGTGGTGCTGGGATGCCACAGCTCGCTTTCATGGGACCAAATGAAGTGATTCTCCCTACAACACCTTGTTACCCAATAGCATTTTCTGCCAGAAAACAAGTAGATGGAATTGTTTTTTTCTGCATGCAATCACTGCATTGAACTCTAAAGTGTGAAGAAAATTATGTTAGTCTCTGACTATGGACTTAGTATATGAGCAGTGACTGGGTGTCTAGTGAGGTAGTGAAGTGCTCATGCTGGTTGAAATAATTTTAAACAATGCCAGAATAATTCTAATCTTAAAATATTGACAATTCCCTGATTCCCTGATTTCAGTAAATTTCCTACTGTGGAGCACAACTATGCTGCACTTAACTCTGCTTCCTGGCTTCTTTCTGAAACGTTGCAAACTCTGATTATTTGCAGTATTCTTTCTAAATTTTCACTTGGATGTTCAGTGCTTTACAACTGGGAATCATGGGCAATGGAAGCAGTAGTAACACAGACTGTAAATTCGTCAGGTTTGCTCTCACTTACCTTTGGTTTGGTTTTGTTTTGTTCTCTCACAAATTATTCCAGAAAATTAAGCTAGTAAAACTAAAGTGAAAATTCAGAAACACATCTGCTAATGTGCAGAAGCACCATAGTATGAAATTGATAGGAAGTATTACATTGTCTGTATTCTTAAATGCTGAAGACAGAAGGAAACTATTGTTGTCTCCAAGTAACCTAGCCTGATGTCTTGTATGGGAGAATACTATGTTAAATACAATGTTTGTTTCAAACAGTTATTTCCAAAGCAAGT